TGTTTATAACATGTGAAAAGTGTCTAAGAATATTGTTATGTATTTATTATTTACAGAAATCCCTGAACTTCAGAAGATTTTGCAAAAACTCAATGACAATCACTCAGAGACACGGAACTACTGGTATGTGTCAGGAGCGTATGGGATACTGTCCTTAATTCAAGGGGCCGCTGTGGAGGAGGGGTAAGATAATGTAACAACACTTTCATTCTGTTTACGTATCAGAATTATTCGGGCTGTATAAATAAAATGTTAATTTTTTATTAAATAAATGCAGAAAAAATAAGGCAACAATAAACTTGAGCCTAATTTATTGCACTCTGACGTTAAACGTTGCATACAACCGGTCACATCAGCTTTTAAACTTGATGAAAAAAATGCTAAAGATGTCATGGGCTTTTGATTTTTATTTTTCACACACACACACACACACACACACACACACACACACACACACACACACACACACACACACAGAAACATTCCCTGTGATGCTTTAGCTCTAGGAATTACCTGAGGGGTAATCAGCTGATCTTTTATATTACCCCTCAGGTAACGATCTCACAATCTCTTAAAAACTGTTCCAACATTTTCTGTTAAATAAACCATAACCAGGTAATTATGAAGAATTAAAAAAGATAATTGAAAGAAAGCCCAGAAAGGGGGAAGTGTAGTTTAAATGTTTTGAATTTTAAATGTTTTCTGTTTGATTTCAAGCTACGGTAAAAACAGAAGTGAGCAAAGTCCTTACAGAAACAATGAAGTGTGGACATGAACAAGTCCAAAAGTCCATGCAAGAGGCCACAGATGCTTTGAAAGAATGTCTCAAGCGTGGGGTTGAGAACTCTAAAAGTTCATGTGATGATGTCTTGAAGTCCTTTTTATGTCTGAGGTACCTGAATATTATGTTTTCATAACAAAACCACAGATTGTCCAACCCATACTTAAATTATTAGTGTCTAATGAAATATTCTAATTTTGTTTTGTTTCAGGGGAAGGGAAAAGGAAGTGGTTTTCACAAGACACTGAAATGTGTAATCGACAACTATGGTGTCCACAAAACAACAGCAGGGAAACACTTAAACCTCAATGAGGATTTAGCTGCAAAGCTGATGGACAGCATTGATAAAGAATTTAGAAAGACCTTCCCGTAAGAAATTACTAAACAAGGACAGAAAATTGCCTCCTAAAAACGACGGCAAAGAAAAACTTATAAGATAATTGTATACAATGTAGTAATACAAATCCTTAAAACATAGATCAATCGTTTTTGCGTTGTGCCAAAACATAACAAAAGTTATGTCAAGAAACTTTAGAAAAAGAGCAGAGCTGTTTTAGAAACCACATGCTACGTACTCCTGTTGAACATAGCATGCCGTATGTACTTCATATTACCTTCAACAGTAGTATGACTGCCAGTCTGTGGTTATTTTACAGTATGCCAGGCCCGACTAAGCTGGTTTCTGGTCTTAGAATGCATTGGAATAAAAAAAAACAGCCCAGCTGACAACAATCGCCACTACAGGGTAGCATCCACTTACAGTCTGGAAAAAGCTGACGAGTGATTAATTTAGATTTTCAGCATTTTGAGAATCAAACAAGTTGATGGTGGTATCTTTGTGTGGTTTGGTCGGATTGTGATTATTTCTCGGGACACAATGGCTGTTGCTGACCTGGTGCTTTGACTTGTGGGAAACAGTACGCAAGGACGACTGGTCTGATGCATATAATGTTTGTGCACCTCGCTCAGACCCCGTTCAGTACGACATCCGGATAGTTTTGGCATACTGTGGATCTCGGATTTGTTCGCATACTGCATACTGCATTCTGGCCAAATCGGTGCGTACTACTAATTTATATTAGTTGGTGGTTTCAGAAAAAGCCCAGGTGAACCTGTACTCCATGTTGTATGATTAAAATAAACCCATCACGAGTCCACCATAAGCAAACCTTTGGCAGCATTTATGCAAAGGAAAACTGTCCTTCTAACCAGCAGTTACCTTGAGCACCCGGCTAATGGTGAACAGTTTAAAAAAAGTATTCAGATAGAAATTAAGGAGATGGATTGGGCTGTAAACTTAAAATTGGCTGTCAAGTTTTCCAAGCTGGATGAGCAAAACTAAGAACAAGACTATCGAAACATTTGTGATTAAGTTCAGGTCTATGTTGGATTCTGCCACTCCATCTGCTACAGCTGAAATTATTTAATTTGAAACTTGTCCGGTCTTACTTAATGAAAGAGCTACTTATGAAAATGTTTCAGAACTGAATCAAATCCTGGACCATTCAACGGGACTATCAGTTCCTTTTCACTCGACACTGGGAAGCTGATTAAAAATCGGAAGTACAAAGACGTGAAACTGCAACTGGAATTTCTCAGGACTGAGGTAAAAGAAGGAATAATTCAATCTAATGACTGATCAAGTAGTTTGTCGAGCAAATCAACATTAACCTGACGTTTGTGACTAATGTATGGAATAAAGAGAAAACATGCAAAAGTGAAACCAAAACAATGTTATTTATTCAGCTCTAAACATTATATACACTGCCTATGAAGAACACCATCAATATAAGGGATTATATTAGGGATAATATTAGGGATGCACAATACATATCAGTTCAGATGATTATTTGGCCAATATTACGGATCTATATATATTTTTATAATCATTATTAACAATAATGGCGTTCATTTATGTTTTACGGTGTACATATGCGAGTGTACTGAAGGGACAGAACGATGTTACTGATGTGAATGAAGCCCAGAGGGGAGGGAGAAAGAATTGTGCCGAATGTGAAAAAAACCTAAAACGGGGGCTAGTCAACTGCTGGCTTATACTATGTGTTGGGCCTCATTGGTTATCTGCAGAAAGTGAAAAATAACTTTTACATGGTTAAAGTTAAAAAAAAAAAAAGAATTCTAAAGGCCTATTTTTTGTTTTTCATTGTTGACATTAGTATACTACGTTAATGTAGGTCTATATATATATCTTTACTGATTATATTCTTAGGAGCAGGTAATTATTGGTATTGGCTTAATAAAATTCATATTGTGCGTCCCTAAATATAATAAATATTAGCCATTTAAATTAGAGGGTCTACAACACAGCTTGTTCTTTATCCTCTCTCTTAGGAAGAAAAAATAAAGATAGAACTCCAAGAAACCATCCGGCAGCGTAAGAAAGAAATGTACAGCGGCCTGACGACAACAATCAAGGAAACCATGCAAACATGCTACGAAGGTAAGAGAAAAGATCTTGGCACATGAAACCTGACACTGAATCAAAACATTTAACATGAAATGTAATTCATTCAAATATTCTGTTTCATTGTAGATGCTCAAAAATGTGAAGGAAAAGGAAGACTAGAAAACACTAGGGAAATCATAAGGCAGCATGTTGATGCTAATAAGAACACCATGTTTGAGAAGGCTAAAGATGAAATGATGTCAAAACTGAAAAACCTGAAGGTTTGTCACATTATAAGTTGAATGTTGTGTTTTAAAGGCTGCAGCGTGGGTGAAGAGCCCAAGACTAATTCTCACTCTGTGGGACAATAAAGTAAACCTTGATTTTTATCTCCAAACTCAAAAGATAATAATACAGCAAAAAACGTTGCACAGTTTGATTATTTTATGGTTCAATAGAACATTTCTTCTATCATCAGGTGATGTGTATCATTGAGAAAATTACTTTTGCAATTAAAACACTGCAGTCAGTGTAACAAAAAAATACATTTTGCTGTTAAATATTACAGTACAACAGAAAAAAAACCTATAGAAAAATATTTAGCTTTTCTGTTTTCTGAGCAGCCCAGTGAACACACGTTTAACCTGTTACTTAACATAAGATCCAGAATATGTTGAACACTATATTTAAATGCCCTGGTAATACATTTGAAATATTTTGATGCCGATTTAGGAGGAAATCCTGAAGAAACTGAACGACACAATGAAGGAGTCTATTGAGCGCGCTCTCAATTCAGATGGACGATTACTTCCAGGTAATGTGGATGTTTAGAAATTAAAAATGATTTTGCCAAAATGTACTCTGCCTGTCACATTGGTGTTGCACAATAGCTCAATCGTGTCCCCTAGAACAGGGTTTCTCAAACTATTTAGCCCGTGACCCCCAAAATAACGGTGCCAGAGACTGGGGACCCCCACTGTCCCTGGAAGTTGTTAAAGCATTTAAAGCAGCACGCACTAATAGGCATATCCAAACACTGGGATTAGTAAACACAAAAAAACACAGCAGCCTATAATAGTTGTATTATTTCATTGTGTCTGTGTGCATTTTTATTTACAAAGAGCAACAGACACCTACATTGTTACATTCTTGTGCAAAGTTACATTAGAAAGATTTTTACAAATTACTTTCATTTCATCACAGATCTCACTTTATTTTAAATTCAACAACTTTATTTTACAATAATGGGTAAATGTGCAATTTTAAGTCACTTCAAATGTTTATTTGTTTATGGAAGGTCATCTTGCGACCCCCCTCTCAGTGTCTTGCGACTCCCCAGGGGGTCCTGACCCCCACTTTTGAACAAACATCAAGGAGGTGCAGGGCAGTGCAAAAACAGCAGACCTAGGAAGAAGATATACCTGCACACCTGCAAAAAAACAAAAATTATTACCTGAAGAAGACCTCTGGGGGAAACGTTGGGATTGTGATGGAATAAAAACTTTTGTGGCATTTGAGCAAGTGTGCAGGTATATCTTGTTCCTCAATAGTGTCCCCTAAAAAATGTTTACTACACAATCCAGCACATTTCACTGATGTACTTTATGTGGGTTAGGTATCTAACACGTCCAGTCATACATACAAGCCTGTGATATCTAAAGATACAAACAGGGAGTTCACACATGGATGTTATTTTGAAAATTTGATGTATTTATGACCATGGCAGGACAAAAAAAAATATACATTTCCCCACAAGACAGGAAGTTCACATATATCTGCATACAATATGTGTGAAATGTCAGGTTTAATCCCAGCCTGAAAAAACTTCCATGCTAATATTCATCCATAGAAATAAAGTCACCTACTAAGAGGATATTACAAGTTTTTGCTTTTGCCAGATTCTGAAGCAGATTATCTTCACACCAAAGTGCAAAGACATTTTTTTCCGAGGTTGAAGTTTAACTTTTTGTGTTTTAGATGTCAAAGAGGAGCTTGAAACGGTGACAAAATACTATCAAGAACTGAAGACAATCACACATGAAGGAACATCAACAGTCAGGTAAAACATTTTTTTTAAAGTAGATAATGCTCTGATTTTAAACTGTAAGAAATTGCTTCACTTATTTTTATAACAGTTGCTAACAATGCTTCTATTCACACTAGTGCTGATCAACCCGGCCCGTCATCTGCACAGGTAAGTTTAAGTAAAAGTGATGATTAAAAGTTAACATTCTGGTAGACAATGAAATGGTAATATGAAAGTTATCAGTAGAATATCACAACCTTTGTGTTTAACTCTCTTGTGGATATTTCAGGTTTACCTGATGCAGAGAAACAGCTGAGGCCTGTTTAACCACTGAGGATCCCACAGGGAACATTGAAAAGTCAAACGAGGCTTCTGGATTTGGTCTCAACCTTTTTTTCACGTTGTTATTTCTGCTCTCTTTTAAGAGGTTTGCTGACATGTTTGATGTGCGTTTCAGAGATGTTCGATTAGTGATAGGACAGTTTTCCTTTTGATTAGTCGTGGTGGGCCTCAGGCCAGAAATTGCAATGGGTGGTGAAGGGTCAGGGCGGGATGTTGTGTTTTCATGATAATCGTTTCTTTTTTTCCGCCTTTTTGCCTTTATTAGATAGGACAGCTGAAGAGAGACAAGAAATATTGGGAGGAGAGAGTGGAGGGATGACATGCAGCAAAGGGCCAAGGTCGGATTCAAACCCACAGCTGCTGCTTAGGAATGTAGCCTCCGTACATGGGACATGACATAACCGTTAAGCAATCCAGCGCCCCTTTCATGTTTCTACCATTTTTTCAGCTAGACATCAACTTCTTTAATAATTCAGGTTTTTTAATTCTTGAAGATGTGTTTTTTTGTGAGTGTTTTTATTTTATGAATTTAGAAGTGGATGATTTGATGTACTCCCTGCAGTTTCACTGATTATTACTGCATCTTATTAAATCTTGAACCTTAATCAAAGAATTAAGATTTTAGGCATTTCAAGGGCTGATCTTGTTCTTTTGTGATGATTAAGGACAAGACTGTTTTTACTGGGATACAAAACTTAAATCTGTGATGATATATTAAGGGTGAAATAGAAGTTCATTTTATTATTAGACCAACTTTTCTGTGCTTCCTGATATGAATTGTACAATGTTTTTTTTTAATGTTTTTAAGTCTTCACTGATTATAAATTAATTATAGCACCTCATGCAATAAAACTCCATAAAATGTAAATGTTGTTACCTTTTTATCTTTAATATGAATCTGATATAAAAGTCCTGCAGCTGCCCAAAAGATTTCCTTTCAAACCCAACGTGTTGTAAATACACAGAAGATGCTCATTTAAGAGACATGTTGGGGTTTTATGTTATAAGTGATGTTGGGTTTTAGATCAAAATGTGGTTATTTAATTGATATTAATCATTATCCTTAATAAATTATTAATATAAATTAACAATATTATTAAACTGATTTAATAAGAACGGGGCACCACCCTGAAATCACAAAACCAGTCTCGAATTAATTAAATACTAATATTATTCATAATTAATAACATGTATTTAATAAATTGAAGGCGTGAAATCCGAACACTAGCCCTCGCACCCAGCTTATATCACAATGCAAATACACCAGTAATCACAAACAACTGCTCTCTTAACTTAAAACAGAATTTATTTAACAAGCAGCATCAACTGCAATCAATGAAACTCAATCAAACAAATAACTACTATAAACTAAACTACAGCAAACAAAGTATTTACAAGCAAACGGTGTGGCACGTGTGTAGTTTTGTATGTGTGTGAGAAAGAGAGAGAGGGATAGGAAGAAGGCAAGATGGCGGGCAAGCACCATGTAGTGACGTCACATGGGGCAAAATGGTGGACAACAAAGGGAGCTGTGTGGTTTAGTAACTATAACATAAACACCAGAAAACCAGTGAACGGATTCAACGGCAGGTACACTGGTCTTTCTGATGGTGAAAGCAGATAAGAGAGAAATCATTTTCTACACATATCAGAGTGGCAGTTGCCCTTAGTTTAAGCTATTGATTGTTTTATATAATAGTTGTGTTGATTTTCTTTCAACACAACAACTGCAGGCAGAACCTGTTGGTCTGCTTTGTGGACATACAGGTGTGGTTCTTCATAACAGAATTAAGTTTCAACAACAAAGACGCTCATATAAAACCTGTTAATGAGTGACATTTAAAATCAACTTAGGAAAATGTAATAACTGTTGACTGCAAAACCCTTTCAAACCTTTAATTAAACTTAATGAAAAGAACATCCCAGCCCAGATAACTTGAGCCACCAAGTCTACAGTTAATCATGTTTATAGAGGTATAGATAAAAATGTCCAAGTTAAACTAGAATCCTGCTGTACACAGTTAACCCTTTCACTGCTGGTTTACAAAATGTTTCCTTATTAAATACTGTAGCTTTCAGGTTTGAAAAATCACTTTACAGCAAAAAGCTTTTATCGTTTATCTTCAGGTATATCGTGTGGCAGGTCTTTAATAAAGCGAATGTACACAATCTGAAAGTCAGACTTATTGTACTTCATATTGATGACTTTGGAAAATGTTATTCCCATCTTGTGCACGTTTTTTTAAATATCTCTTTCTATTTGGGAAATAATGACAACTCTTTAATGTGATAGGATGTCATGTTAGCGTTGATGAATAGGTGTAAATAGTTTGGTACAGATAAAGGTAAATAAAAACACATTTACTGTAAGCATTTCAAAACTGGTTATGAAGGTTTGCATGAGGGTGGTTGCATGAGAGTCAAACAGATCTGACAGATAAAATAGTTACTGCAGGACTAGATTTTGATCTTTGACCACATAATGTAGGTGTAACTTGGCTCGCCATCAACCTTCAGAAATGAGACGAACAAGCCCTCCCTGTACTTTTACCAACTTATTATCTCTCTTCCTGGTGCCAATGGGTGATACTTTACATATCAGGCAGGAAGGTCATTATACAACATGATTATTTGTTTGCTAGAAACTACTGAATTTGTGACAGCTGGAACAAAATTCAAAGTCCGCGGAAACGCGGCTTCTCCTACGTCCTCCTGTTAGTTTTAGCATTAGCTGCATGTAACTCTCGGTTCTAGAATCCTTGGAAAAAAATTGTCAGTGTGACGTCTTGTCAGTGTGATATCACTGATCTAAGCCCATTGGCTCGTTGTGGCAAGCCTAGAAGCTCATGTTGTATGCCCGTTAACTTCTGTAGCACGCCCACGATATGCCGTAGCCTGCGGTAGCACAGTAGTCGTAAGGTGCTAATGTTTTTGCTCCCCGGCCCTCGGAGCCAGAGTGGCTGAGCGACTGACCAATCACGACAGAGCTGACAGACCAACCAATCAGATCAGACTTGGCACACGTGGGGACTCTGAACGTGGGCACTTCAGAGCCTTAGAGAGAGAGTCAGAAGCGAGCCGGTGCATGGAGCGGCAGTACGTGAAAACAGACACTTTTTTCTAAATTTTAGCTATTGTGAACATACTTTAGTAGGTACATTGATTAAATATATGAACCCCAAAAAGGGCATAATATGGGCTCTTTAAAACACAGACTTCACTTATCCCGTGCGAATGCGCCGCACGAAACACAGAGGTGGTGGGGTAATTTCTAAATCACGAGGTCCCCAGGTAATACTAGTCCTGTGCGAATAGGGCTAAAGATGTATTAAAAGTTTAAGAAAAGAAGCGTTATAATATATACACTTTAATGCAAACAGCTTAAATGTCTAAACTCTGACAAAAATGAATGTAAATGCTATTAAGCATTAAAAAGAATAAACCGAACTCATATTTAAAGTGAAGAGGAGAAAATAAATCTCTTCAATTAGATCTAAATGAAATGTTTTATTGCCAAAAGAAATGCACAAGAACTTTCATCGTCATTTCATTTGCTCCCTTTACCGTCAGTGAAAGTCCAGCACAGTCAAGTAATTTAAGAATTCATTCCAGACATAGAAAAATAAATAATTTGCCATTTGAAATAAAGAAATGAATTTGTTATTTTTTTGTATTTAAGAGAGCTTAGCAGTGCCAGCCAAAAACATCAACACACTAAATTCTGACACAGAACGTTGGGTCAGTGTGGTATCACAGTGACCGAGTGGCTGTTCAGATTTATTCACACATATGATTCACTTACTAAGAGTTAATCAGACAGTTGTTCTTGACTTAAGCAGTGACAAATAAAGGAACAATATGTTTTATATGGCCTTAAAGGTCACATATTATCCTCCTTTTTAACCAGTTTAAATAAGTCTCAGACCTCCCTTAAAACATGTGTGTGAAGTTTCTTGTTCTAAATCCACTCTGGTCCTGTATTTGATCATGTCTATAAACCCCTCTATTTCAGCCCTGCTCAGAACAGGCTGTTTCTGTGTCTGTATCTTTAAATATGTAAATGAGCTGTGTCTGACCACGCCCCTCCCTGGAAGGGGATGTAGCTAGGAATTTCTTGCACCATGTCCAATAGATTACCTTGAGAAGACAGACTCAGAGGGCAGAACAAACACCTAGCTGTGGGAGTGTCACCCACCTGCGGGAGGGGTCACTGCCCTTTGTTATGTCATGAAGGGACGATCTCCAAACAGCCTGTTTGAGCACACATTTTCTAAAAAGTGGAGCAGACAAAAGACGGAGACGATGGACTTTGCTTATAATAGGAGGGTTTGTAGATGGACTAGGGACACATATTAGTGTTAGAAAAACATAACATGGTAAAGTGCAGTTTGCATAATATGTGACCTTTAATAATTTCGCTTTACAAAAAAGAATCTTCACACTGAGTGTCATATGTGAAACACGCTAAAACGTCTCACAGAACTGAAATATCGGCACCATTTGTGAAACACATAAAGCACAAACAAGGAATACTCAAAGCCCTTAAACACGAAACAAATGAACAATACTATGAACTGTACTATGTGACTCAAACCGACTGTTTTAAAAGCACATACAGCTCTGTGAATGAGAGTTACGAAACAATTATGGTCAATATATGCATGCTTAAATACTACAGAGAGCAAAGGAATAGTTCTTAGGCACAGAAAAAACATTTTTTACTTCAACTCTGAATCTTGCACTTTAGTACAGATACTCCTTTTTTTACTTTAAACAAATAAAATGCACCCACCTGTTCATTAAAAAATCAAGCTACGTGTGTTTAAGAACAATCGGTTGCTAAAGAAGCTATTTTAGCAGGCTACAACAGTCAGAAACATTGGCTTTGTGGTGGTGTAAATCAATGAGCGAAAGTGTAGAAGAAAAATACAATCATTTGAATTCCAGAAGCTAGAATACAGACGATCATTTGTTAGCAGCATTGTCTTAAGTTTCAGTGGTCCAACGTTTGTATTCAAGGACTAAAAATTCAAGTTCACACATCGAGGCATGTTGAGTCACAGGTTATCCAAGAGAGTGCTGCTTCTTCAGGCTGTCGGAGCGCCTCACTCT